AAGGCTAATATTTATGGGGATCAATTTCTAGATCCTCAACTTCCGTAAGTGCTATTTTCTGAAATTGATCAGTATAAGAATTCACATGTAATAGAGGTGCAGATTGTCATTTTATATTTCTCCTCTCATAATCCTTCTTCTGCTTTTGAAAAATAGAGATGCCTTTTATATCACTGCCTTGGGATACCTCTGGTGAACCAAATAAAGGAGCAAATAATAATGTCTGCATGGATATTGATAGAGTGTCGGCGTGATTCCTCTAATTAATGGATAACATATCCTCTTGAAAATCAGAGGGTTTTTGATTCTTTGCTTTCAATATTGTTACTCAGGTTGTCAGCTGAAAATCATTAAATGATCAAACATTCTGTGATTTTTGGCACATGACTCAAAAATTGTTCAAAGAACTGAGTGACACTGCCGTAACAAAACTTATTCCATTCTTATCTACTAATTTATATGAAAAAGATTTTGCAGCACTTATTTCTCTAAAAACAAAAACCAGAAATAGTATCAATGCTGAACCTTAACTCATCCTGGCATTCAGTAATATTCATCCATGAATTCGTGAACAAGTTGGTAAAAAAAAGAAAAGTCTGATCTCATTAAAAGATGCATTTTCAATAACATTTTACTTTTATGTTAAAAAAGTATTTATCAAAACATGTAATATATTTATGTTGTTTTAATCAAATGTATATTAGATATAAACTTCAATGCAGAAGAAAATTTTAATACCCAGAGCCTTAACAACATATATGTATGAGGGTAATTTGAAAAATTCATGAAAAGATTCATATTATCTTTTAACCCTATTTTTCCATGAACTTTCTGAAGTACCCTGGTATATGACCCCCTGCCCCAAATACACAAACTGTAATACATTACATTTACTAGTCTGTACTTTGCTGCTTTTTCCCATTTACTATATCACGTAGATCTTCCCAGGTCAGCATATATAGAGCTATCTCATTTTTTTAAAGGGCTGTATATTATTCCATTGCATAACTTGAACATAATATATTTAACCATTGCCTTATGGATAAATATTTGGGCTTCTTCCATCTTTTGCTATTATAAACAAAGTTGCAAGGAATATCTTTGTACATGTATAATTTCAGTCATGTAAATATAATAGATAGCATTTAAGTCCATGAGAATGAATGAGATAAGTTTAACCTAACTTTTTACTTGTCTGCTTCTTCACTTGACTGAAAGCTCCTTGAGGGCAGAGCTCAACTTTACTGAAATTATGCACCCAGCTCAGCCCCAACCGGTCTGTATGTGGGATCCGAACCCTCGGCGGGAGCGCCACCGCGCTCCCAAGCGGCAGACTGTAGCAGTGCGCCACCGGGCCGGCCCCCAACATTGTTTTGAATGGGATGATATATTTGGATGAGACTAAAGGAAAAACAAAAAAAGATGGAAAACTGAATCAGCCAAGAGTAGAAACAAGTAAGTGGAGGACTTAACCTCACAGCTGCTTCACGGTGATCATAGGATCATAATCCATCCTATGATTTCCCTGTCATTCAGCTCAGAACAGGGTGGAATTTTCACAAATAATTTTTACTAGGAAACCAAGGAAAGAGAAAATAACCATGAATGCAAGGAGATGAGAGAGTCTGCATAATTCACACTTCTTACACTAATTTCAAACAAAGTCTTGCCAATGTTTAGTTTAGTTGGCATACCTTCCTAGGTCCCCATGCTGTTCTGCTCTCAGCTTCACCTGGTCTGGGGCTGGACACAAGTGAATATTAGATAAGCTATTTAAACTTTAAGGACAAAGATTTGTGCTGGCTCAACTTCGAGGCCTAAGGGTAAGGAATAATTAATCAATCCTGACTATTGCTTCCTCATGTTCGCCCTGGGTTGGAGCTGCAGGGCTCTCCCTCTGTCTCCCAGGGTGCTGTGCACTTCTGCTCTGTAATCTCTGATTAACCCTATAGCGGCTTGTCGTGTTCAAAAAGAACCCTCATCGGAGCTTTGCTGAGACCAACTACTTGCTCCCATCTTGCTCATGCCCTTCCATTCCCCCTTATTTTCTTAGGATACTCCTCTTATCCACTTATACTATCCTGAAAATCCCTGTGCCTCTCAGCCCCCAAAAGTCTTCCTCTCATGCCTACCCTATTTCCTCCAGCTGCTGAGACTGATGCTGCTCTTCAGTGAAGCTCCTCTTTCCCTGGACAGCTAGGCTGTCCTCCATGTAACATTAACAGCAGCCACCACTTCCTCTGGGGTCTTCCCTGTAACACATCAGCTCCTGCTGCAAAGCCAGTGTCTGCTTTTGGATCAACCACTGGGCTCTTGCTTCCTGCTGGATGATGTTGCCAGTTTTCAGCACATTTCTAGGGTGAACAGGACTGACCTGCCCTGACTTTGCATTAAGTCTTCCCCATCTTAGGTTACCAGCTTCATAGCTTCCTCATATTTTCTGATGACTCAGGTATGACATCCTCAAGGGGATAGCATGTGGTCATTTTGCCAGAAATCTATTATTTTACAGTCATAAATTCTTTGAAGATAGAGTAAAAACAAGAATTTTTCCAGGAGGAACAGAGAGGAGTCATTCCTGTATGGTGTCTGTCCTGATTAGACGTTTAGGGAACACGAACAGTGGGGACGGTTTGGTTGTGAAGAGGAAGTAAGAAATGGAAGGAGACTGAAGAAAGAGGCAGCGAGGCAATTTTGACGAGGGGGGGCTGGTAGGATACTGATGAGAGAGAAGAAAAAGAATCCTCGAGTGGGGGGGGGGAAGCTGTGATTTAAGTGAATCAAATAAAAAGTTTACCTGATGGTTCAGGGCTGAAGAGAAGTCCTTTCGTTCAAAAGCCTCCAACATCTGGTTTGTCTTTTTCCCCAGGTAGTTATAGGTACTGGCAAGACAACAGCAAATACTGCAGGTTCAATAATTTAACAGGGAACGTCAAGATATTCAAACCCCTCTGCTGTTTAAAAGGGAAAAAATATACCAGGCCTCCTAGGTGTCTGTTTTTAGGTCCTAATCTGTTAGCGGATCAGGTTATCTTTAGTTCTGAGTTTTCTTTTTCTTTTTTTTTTTTTTTTGTCTTTTTCATGACCGGTAAGGGGATCGCAACCCTTGGTGTGGTGTCGTCCACACCGCGCTCAGCCAGTGAGCACACCGGCTACTCCCATATAGGATCCGAACACACGGCGGTAATGTCGCTGCGCTCCCAGCACCGCACTCTCCCGAGTGCGCCACAGGGCCGGCCCTAGTTCTGAGTTTTCTAGCAACACTGAGCAGTGCCACAGAGAAGGCAGTGAACACAAAAGGGGATAAAGGAAAGGAAGAAAAATGGAAAAAAGGATAAAATGGAAAAAAAGTGAAAGATGGAGGTGTATTTGGTAGAGAGTGATTGAAGCCAACACCTGCCCTAGGACACACACCGAGGCACAATGCTGGAGAAGAACTGTGGCTAAAACGTAGCATCTGAGGTGAGTCCTAAAACTGAGAAACTGGGTGAATAGAGCACCACAGTAAAAGGGGCAAATCCCAACAAATTTACCTGAATTTTTTGCCAACTTATGTATTACTTAGAGACTAGTTTCTAGATAATGTTAATAATGATAATAATAAAATAAAGGGCTACTGAGTACTATATGACTTCAAAAAGTTAATGGTAAGATTTGTCTTATCTTTTATCTTTCCCACAAACTTTTTGAAGTACCCACGTATTATAGGTGCTTGACATAAATATGTGTAATTTTCTCAAAGCCTTGCAAGGTAGGCCTGGTTTCTATTTTACTCAAGGAAGGGCTACACAGTTGCTGTAAAGGCTTCCTATCATTTCATGCTGTCTTCTATGACTATTCAATTAAAACAAAGATGGAAATGTTTATTTGATCTGATAAAATGTTCTTGCAGACTTAAAAAAATCTCTAACTCTGCCAAAAAAGACACATATCTTAGACTAATCACTGAATTCTTATAGAAACCAGCAAGGTAGAAGGTTAAGAAATTCATAATAAGAATGTTTCTCTAATTTCTTTAAAGGCAAAACAAAAGCAAGTCAAAAAGGGCTTCTCACAGAGTAAGTCAGTACCAGAAAATGTATTTATCTGGATTAAACCAAGAAAAGAAATGTGGTTGGTCCTTGCATATGTAGATCCTGGGTCAACAACAGGGATTCCAACATAAAGCTACATTATCTTCTGGTAGTAAAGAAAGGAAGAATGTCTAATGAGTTTCAGAATACTAAAATTCGACTCTCAGTGATCTTAGTGTATCCTTAGTTAGACAGACAGGATGGGCCGGCCCGGTGGCACACTGGATAGTGCGCCGCTTGGGAAGCGCGGCGGCGCTCCCGCCGGAGGGTTTGGATCCCATGGGCAAAACAAAAGCAAGTCAAAAATGGCTTCTCACAGAGTAAGTCAGTACCAGAAAATGTATTTATCTGAATTAAACCAAGAAAAGAAATGTTGTTGGTCCTTGTGTATGTAGATCCTGGGTCAACAACAGGGATTCCAACATAAAGCTACATTATCTTCTGGTAGTAAAGAAAGGAAGAATGTCTACTTAGTTTCAGAATACTAAAATTTGAATCTCAGTGATCTTAGTGTATCCTTAGTTAAACAGACAGGAAGATCATCATAGTTAAAAACAAATGAAGTTTAACCAAATGCTCTTTGCTTATAGATTATGTTGACAAAACTAAAATGCCTAATATGGAGGCCAAAAAACAGGAGTCAAAAAAGTAAGAATTTCCAGGGAAAAAAATGTTCATGGTAAGTAAATCTAGCTGGCATTCAGGTTTCCTTCACAGAAACATCTGTGTAGTTACGATGGATGTCACAGGCCATCCTGGCTTGGTAAACAAGCCACTACAATTATCCAACTCAATCACCATTCATTAAAGCTGTGCTCAACATCCCACAGTAAGGAAATGCACTTTCAGTTCATGTAAACACTTCACTCGATCTTCCTGCAGGCATAGTCTAACCAATTAGGTTAATATGTGCAGTGGAAATGCTAATTGAAATGCCTCCCTTCTGCCGAGTAGGCATTGGGCCACCTGATTCTGGTTTGCTGACTGCAGCTGATTGGACATTAGGTGGACACTTGGCTAGGCAGTGCTATCTAATGATATCCTGAGATGCCACATTTGGGCAGCCAGATTGGCCATGTGCTTGCTGAAGCAGAGAAAGCCCATCTGGAGAGAAAGAAAAAGAAGAGAAATAAAGATATGTACAGAGAGATGGAGAGGTGAGAGTCTGTGGAAGACCACAGATGGAGGATGATCCTCCTTGGCTGTAGAGAGCTTTGTAATTCTTGGTTTTTATCCTCTCTGAGGCCTGGTTGCACTTCCTCCTCCTGGGTATTATGTAATTTCCCAGTATTTTGTAGTAACTTACCTTCTTTCACATATGCTACTTTGAATGGGTTTCTGCTATTTGTAACCAAATAATATCTGCCAAAGACAATGTGAGTCCATCCCCAAGACACTAGTCATTACAGTTTACAGAGCTAAGGGCCAGACCCCATGAAGTTACAGCCCACAGGCACGTTCTCAGCTGATGTGCTTCTGCATCTTACCCTAGTTGCAACAGATGCTTCTAAATAATAATGACTGAGTTTCTAACAAACGGCTAAGCCCTCCTTAATTCTCTTCCACTGAAAGAATATGGGGAAAAAAGGTAACTTCTATTAGAAAAAATGTACATGCAAGAAGTATAACTGCTCTGGTGACAAATGCCTTTATGAGGGACTTCAAATTTATAACCATTGGGAAAATAAGTCGTACTTGCCTGCCCACTGCTCCAGTCGCTCCCATCATCAGAGCACTCAATAGTTGCTAATCAGAAACAAAGAGTATTCATGTTTATGAAAAAGAGAAAGGGAAGAGATGCTACTATATAAACAGCTACATAAATTGTTTTGGAGGGAAACTGACCTGGTAGGGGGTAACTTACCTCATCCACCCCATAAAGGAAAGCAAGTTGTCTCTGGCGATTCTGATCAACACATTGCCCGAAGTCTAAGAGATCTGTGTCACTGAATTTCAGCCCTCGGAAGGTAGGGATGTGATGCTGAATCCCATCCAACAACTCCTCAGCACGAACTGCTCAAAAACAATAAATGCCTCATTAATCTGTACACTTCCAGGAAATATTCAACATCTCACATGGCCTCACACATCTGCACTGGGCTGCCATGGGCTGTTGTCAGCAAACCTGACTGCAGACGGCATGATCACTTGCCCTTGCTTAGTGGCTCTATGTACTATCAAATAATAATCCTAAACTTTCCATTCTTTGAATTTGGATATTTGTGATATTGTGAAAATATATTTGGTTTCTTCCCCTGGTTCCTGTAGAAAAGCTCCTAAACTTGGACATAGGAGGTCCTAGAAGAATATTTCATTTTAATATTTGGTCTTTAACCCTCGTTCCTGAAACAGAGCTCCTAAGTCCCTTGGAACTTCCTGAGTGATAGGAGCATCTTTTGTTTAATGAGATGACTCTTGGTGGGCTCCTGGATAGCCTAAGGATGGGGCTGGTTGCCAGGGGAACCCACCCCCAACCTCCAGGGAGGGGAGAGGAGCAAAGGTTGAGTTGATCACCAGTGCCAATAATATAATCAATCTTGTCTATGTAATGAAGCCTCCATAAAAAACTAAAATGACAGGATTCAGGAACTTCTGGGTTGCTGAACACATGACGGTGCCTGGATGTAGTGTGTCCACAGAGGGCATGGAAGCTCCTGTCCCTTCTCCCACACCTTGTCTTATGCATCTCTTCATCTGGCTGTTCATCTGTATCCTTTGCAATAGCCTTTGTAATAAACAGGCAGTAGTAAGTAAAGTGTTTCCCTGAGTTCTGTGAGCTTCTCTAGCCAATTAATCAAACCCTAGGACGGGGTGGGTCATGGGAACCCCAATTTATATCCAGCTGGTCAGAAGTACAGGTCACAACCTGGGACTTGCGATTGGCATCTGAAGCAAGGGCAAACTTGTGGGACTGAGCCCTTAACTGGAGAGATTTGATGCTATCTCCAGGTAGATAGTGTCAGAATTGAATTAGAAGACACCCTGTTAGTCTCCAATGGAGAATTGGTCGTTGGTGGAGAGAAATCCCCACATGCATTATGGTGACCAGAGGTGAAGTGTTTTGTGTTGAGTGGTGAGTATGAGAGTAGAGAGTAGGAAAACCCGTGTTTTCTTCAGCATACTTATAAAGCAGTCTCTATTTTTTCTTTTATGGAGTTCAGAGAAGAATGGAATTTTAAGAATAATCTCTTGAGAAATTTCATCTAATTATAAAATCTTCTCACTGGAGAAATACAGTAATAAAAGAAAAGCTAGAAGAAAAATCATAAGAGATCAGAGAACCTTTCTACGTGCTAGGCACTGTGAATACACTGCATACTGGTGGACACAATCCTGTCCTAGTGGGACATACAGTCTCATGTCTTCTAAGAAGTAGGCCACAGGTGTCTGCTATAAGTGTCTAGAAGTCCACTCTTCTTTCATACTTAAGAACTTCCATTATAAGGTGGTATGAATGACTGATAAAGGCTGCAATATCAGAGTGACTTATTTTGGAGCAACTGGAACCACCTAGTCAACGGTGATGTGCTTTTGTGGCATGGGGTGGGGTGAAATGGAGTGGGGGTTCCTTAGTGAAATAGGGTAAGATGTGAAAGCTGGAAGGAAAGAAATATGAAAAGAATCAGTACTTACTCTTTACCCCTGTCAAGGCAGGAATGTGATAATAATAAAAAGGCAATTCATGGGCAGCAGCTGCCACTTCCTTTAGGAAATCAATCAGGATATCTGAAAAAATAGCAAGAAAATTCACAGTGTAAGCAAGTGTAAAACAGTGGCTTTCCCTGGTAAAAAAACAAATCACCCAATGAAATGCAACCATTCTTCCTAGAAGCTGAAAATTCTTTTTTTATTTTTTATAAAATTTTATTTTCTTAATTTTTATTGAATCAAAATTGATTATATATACTTTTGGGTTCAACACTGAGATATGTCGATCACATCAATATTACTAGCATATATATTGTTACAAATCATAATTATTCTTTATGCCCCTTGTCAAATCCCCCCCATCCCCTTCCCCCCCTTCCCCCTCTAATCACACTAGATTTCTTCTCTCCCTCTGAAAGAATAATGGTTACTCTGTTGATTTGCTGCCCAAATGATCTGTCCAATGCTGAGAGGCATGATCAGGTCCCCCCATACAATCATAGAGCAGATGCCTCTTCTGTCACTCTGAAATGGGCTTTGTGGAGAGAGACATCCTCCTCCTTTCTTTATCTCTATTGGTGACTCTTCTTTTGTGAATGCACTCCAGTGGCTGGCAGACCATCTGCGTGGTGGTTGTGGTGTCTAGTTGCCTTCATGGTAACCATGGTTATCGTGGTGGCTGTGATGGGCCACCCACATAGAGATGATTTTGGCATGCTCCTTGGTGCTGGCTGTGTGCCTGGTTGTGGGGAATGTCCAATCCCCGGCTCCATAACCTGGGACCCCAGGCAGGACCTGAGGTGCTGGTGAGGTGTGCCTGATTGTGAAAGGGGAGTCTGGTCCCCAGCTCCATACCCTGGATCCCCCTGCAGGAACCAAGGCACTGGTGAGGTGTGCCTGGTTGTGGGAGTGGGGTCCGGTCCCCTTCTCCATGCCTCACGTCCCCGGGCAGGCCCTGGGGTGCTGGCGTGGTGTGCCTGGTTGCAGGAGGGTGTCCGGTCCCCTTCTCCATGCCCCAGACCCTGGCAGGCCCCAGATGCTGGCTCGGTGAGCCTGGTTGCAGGAGGAAGGGTCCGGTCCCACTCTCCATGCCCTGGGTCCCCAGGGGGGCCCTGAGGTGCTGGTACAGTGTGCCTGGTTGTGGGAGGGGGGTCCGATCCCCTTCTCCATGCCTCGGGCACCTGGGTGGGGCCCTGAGGCACTGTCATGATGTGCCTGGGTGTGGGAAGGGAGTCCAGTCCCCATCTGCTAGCCCCAGGTCCCCAGGTGGGCCCCAAGGCATTGGTGGTGTGCCTGGATGTGGGAGTGGGGTCTGGTCCTGGCTCCAATTGTTGGGTTCCTGGGCAGGGCCCCGAGGTGCTGGTCATGTGAGTGGTTGTTGGCTGGGGTCCTGCCCCTGGCTCCATGCCTCATATTCCCTAGTGGGCCCCAAGGCATTGCTGGTGTGCCTGGGCTGGAACTAAGTTTTTGTCCTTTGCTTACTTCTAACATGGGGAACTTCCTGTGGGAACCAGTACTTGAGTTGTGTGGTTGAGTTAGATTGCTGCTTTGCTGCTATTTCCCTAGAGAAGGCTTTCTGTGCAGCTCAGGGATTAACAGCTGACCTTGTAGGTACTTCCAGCTCTCCAGAGACCCAGTGTACCTGGGTTGTATAGAAAATCCAGTCTGCGCCTGAGCTTTTTCATCAAACTGCACTCCATACAACTCTGCATTCCTGACCAGTCTCCTCTGAGTGGTCCTTCACTGATTGGGGGGCAGACTGGCTGTCCTTGCTGTATCCCAGTTTTCTCCTGGTGGGCCCGTCTCCCCCACTGCCCATACTCCAAACACTTCCCATGGGACAGGCCCTGTGCTGGTCCCTTGCGTTGACTCACTGGCCTCTGAATGGCTCCCCTTTTTCAGCTGTTCTGGCTCCTCGCTCCTGCATGGGTCCACGGGAATCCTATTACTGGTCTTGGTGTCCTGGGGGCCACCAAAGTCCTCTTCTCCCTTTTCGTCTCCAAGTAACTCCATCTAAAGGGCACAGCAGTGGCTTCTGCCAGCTCCTGCTCTATGCACTCCAGCATTAAAGCAGCTGCAGACTGAAACGCTGAGAGCAGTTTTTTCTTTCTATCATCATGACTTCTCCAGCCTTCATGAGTTCCATAGGTCTCTCCTCCTCTTCACCTGAACTCCAGCGGCCCCAGCTTGGCTGATGTTCCATTTTTATAGTTGTTAATTTGTTGATTTGTGGGAGAGAGTGACACTGGGGACCGTCTATTCTGCCATCTTGACTGGAACTCTCCTGGAAGCTGAAAATTCTTGACCACTCTTACCATCCCTGATGTTGTCACTGCAATGTCTTTGCAAGACTGTATTCAAAGTTTTATTTTCCTTTCCACAGAAAGGCTGAAATAAGATGATCACTTTCCTACCATACTAAACTATCAAAAAATGGTGCAAATCTTCCCAAATATTAAGAGAAGATAATGAAATAGTCTTAACCAGAAGCCCATCAGGTAGGGCTCTTGTCCTCTTACCCCGGAAGCGCTAAGTGTGGCCAGTAATCAACAGAGACCTTGTATTAGGATCAGAGTAATAAAGTTGTAACTGAGAAAATTCTCCAACAAAAAAGACAACACCTGCTTCAAGAGGGAAGTTATAAGGGTAATGGCACATCTCACAAAAATACAACCAGAGTTTCTACTTTTCCCTTTTGGGAGAAATCCAAAAATATCAGAGGAGAGCACACTCTGGTTTACGGAGGAAGTGGGATTTCCTACATCACCCAGAGTGAGCTTCAACTGCACCATTACTGCAGATGACAAATAAATCCAGCAGAATTGCTTATACTTTGGACACCACTGAATAGTGGGAAAAAGAATTTTAGGTACTTCATCTGGATACCGTGATGATGAATTTGGTCTATGACAAGTATTTTTTATAAAATTATTATGTATAATTATTTTTCCCTCTGTTCATCTCCTAGGAAAAATATTCATGTAAAAATCTGTAAAACCATGTGAAAAAAACATTTAAAATGTTCATTCTAAACTCCCAAATTAGCAATATTTAAATTACTTATCTACATTAACAACTATGTTTTCATATCACCAACAACAGGTGATATTTCATGATGATTTTGACCTATTATACATTTAGTTATGGATTTATTTAATCATGTATGGAAATAACATCGTGCCTGTTTTTGTCCTTTTAAAATTTAGATATCGTTTTTTAATCATCAAAAAGGATTAAAAAGACTCGGTATACTTGGACACCATAAATAGTTTCCATAGAGAAAGCCATAGAGAAGGAGAAAGCAATGCTTTGATAATTTGGACAATGGATATTTCTGTGAAATATCCTCAAATTCATCACACTCAACCTTGAAAAGAACATGTAGTTTCAAAATGCCCATCACTTTTACTCCTCTCTTTTGAGAAAAATGGTTCCACGCTTTGCCATGTGACTTTGGCACCCAGTGCAACTGATTGCACCAGGAGGGGACATTTGACCCAAACACAGGCACCTACTGATATCGACCAGGGGTTTGATGGATGACCTGATTAGGTTATTGGGCAAAAGAATTGAAGCACTTGTATGCAGTCTCCTTTATGGACTCAGGGAGAGCAGATATTCTAGAGAACCACTGTTCTGTTGCAATTTCATGCCTCCAGTCTGTAGGGCTTCACTTTCATGAATTCAATATAACCATTTTGGATGGAGGCAAGAAGAACTAGACCATGTGAGACACTGTGCATTTAGACCTATCTACTCACCTTTGTTCCAGGGCTTGAAAAAGAAAGGTGCAATGACAGCAATGCCATCAGCTCCTATTTGTGCTGCATGTTGGGCCTTTAAAGGAAGAAAGAAGACCGTAATGGAGTAAGTGATTTATTATAGTCACCTACGGCTTAGATAATGGAGTTCAGCAACAAATGCTTCAAATTTGCCAACTGATACACCACTGAGGAGTGGAAAAATTAGCCACATTTAATAATAAATTCATTACCAGGAAAAATACCAGGTTGCAAAGTAGAGCTGTGCACTCAATCTTATATTTCTTCGTATTTTGTAAGTACAAAAAATCTTGCTAAGGAGACATGAGTGGTTCATTTTGATAAGTTATAACTGTTAACAGACAAACCTGCAGATGTAATTTCTCTTCTACTGTTTATCCCACTAGATGATACTGTCTTTTCTGTCCAATGACATGACAGTCATATTTTCAAATTTATATTACAGATTGGGAAGGCAGTTGAGAAAGGCTGAGAAGAAGAAAACAATTATACACATCACAGAAGATACTTTGTACCATGCTTCTGATGTTTTCTCAAATTCCCTCAGAAAAAAATTAACATTTCTGCTAGCTGGGCCCTCCTAATATTTTTTATCTATCTTAGATAAGAGTATCTAGACCTTAGGTATGGTGTACAGTTACTATCCTCCAACTAGAGTTTCCTGAGGGTAGGATCAGACCTTGTTTACCTTTGTGTACAGGTCAGTCATGGTGCTGGGCACATAGCACGACTCAGAACATGCCCCACTACCTGAAAGGGGAAAAAGGCTTCCCTCTGAGACTTGAATTCATAATATCTATATCTAAAAGACATAACTTTTTGCAGAAGCAAACTAGACAAAAAGAGAAGATTGGGGTATGGCCCAGGGACCAACCAACACACTGGATATAATGTCATTAACACAGGATTAGAATGTGATATATTTTGGGCCGGCCTGGTGGCACACTGGAGAGTGCACCGCTTGCGAGCATGGCGGCGCTCCCGCAGAGGGTTCGGATCCCATGTGGAGACCGGTTCCCGCTCACTGGCTGAGCGCGGTGCGGGCGCAACACCGAGGGGTGGGATCCTGTTACCGGTCAGCACAAAAGACAAAAAGGAAAAAAAAAAAGAATGTGATATATTTTAATCATTTGTTTAGTACTCTGTTTAGAAAAAGAGCATAAGGGTAACTTTGGTTGAAAGCAAGGAAAAAGGAAACACCCAAGAGAGAATTGATGGTAGTGCCCATTCCAGCATTATCCAACAGAGTTATGGCTAAGCAGATGCCAATATTATTGTCTCTTTGGCAAGATGATACCTATACCAGGAGATTGTCCCTATGCCAGGGGACTATCTCCATTCCAAGATTATCTCCATACTATTCTAGTATTCATTCCAATGGATGACACTGTCTTTCATGTCATGACAATGTTTTAAAATTTATATTAAACATTGGAAAATAAAGCAATTGAAAAGATAAGAAAAAATGATTCCCTACACCATCCTACCTTAGCTGAAAGATCTTTTGAAAGAAGAGCAAATCAAGTGTAAGAATATTAAATCAAGTCCCCAAGTTTTGATTCCAGGTTTAAGTCTAGTAAAATGTCTTCCCTTACAGCTTGCCTAAAACCACTGAATTCCCATTTTGCAAGTTTATATTATAATCCCATTTCTAAATCTAAATAACAAGTAAAACAATCACACAAAACTCATCAAGAATATGTTGGGCTAGATCAAGTCATTATAATCTTGGGAGTTAGAATATCTAAATTCTGGAAATGTGAGTTAATTTGTAGCAGTGCAGGCACTGGGCCTTCTGATAAACATTTAAACATCTTTGTGCTTTCATTTCTTAACCATTTCACCCAGGCCTCAAAAACCACCATGTTATCTTCATTTCTCCCAACAACTTTAACTTTTTTCTTCCTTGCCTTTTGCTCCACCTAACTTGCTAATCCCTAAACCTAGAGCAATCCAATTGCCTGTACTTTTATTCCTATGTTCTGGCTGAAGAGTGTACCTAGAAAAAAATTTCAACAACTGTGTGGAATGGTGGTATGACAAATTTAGGACATACAACTTAAGTTGGTTTTCAGCACCACTGGGCAATTCTTTTGTGTTTCAGCTCTCTCGCGTCCTCCAGGGCATCCATTTCACATTGACCTCTTCAAGCCCTTACCCTATCTTCCATCCCCTTTGTGTCCTGTAGATGGCCTTGTCTTCTACTTCCCAGAGAAAACTGAAGTTGGCCCAAGTTTTGCTGCTTACCTGCATGCTTTGCTACATCTGCACCCATCCTTTCTTTCCCTGGAGGAAGGTCTCCTCTCTACAGTAGTCATCATCTTGGGGTACGGCCCTGCCTTTATGGTTCAGTTCACTAGACAGTGAGTCTCTGAGATCCCACACCTTATCTCTTTCAGCATAGCATACACCACATAGCATATATAGTATTGATTTTAACTTCAGCATAAAATTGGAGGCCCCAGGAGTGGTCTTTCCTGGCTGGATCTGCATACATACCAGTTCCAGTGACTCCTTCAAGCTCAGTGCTCCTACATGAATCACCACCTGATCTAACCTGCAAAAGAGGATACATTGCTGCATCCCTTGAAGTTTAGAGGAACAAAGAAGGGCTGTACTATGCAGTCTGTGCTGTTTTTAACAGCTGGTTAATGCCTTATTAATCTCAAACTCAAGACTATTATGCTCTCCAGTGATCTATTTAAAATTGGTCTAATTAGAAGGGCTAATAGTTATTTTTTATTTTTATTTTTTGTTAATGGTGATCTTTTTAGTGCAGGTGCAGTTTCCGGATGGAACCTCTGGGAGCCAGGTGTGCCTTCCAGCTGCCCTTCTACACAGAAAAGACATGTGATCCTCACTGAAGTGCCAGGGTCCCCAGGGTCTCTGCTCATCTTCCCACCAGCTGATCTCGAGCCTAGCCTCTGACCAGAAATCAGGGAGGCTGTGTCATCTGGGAAGAGCCTCGCTCACGACAGCTCTCTGGTGGGTGTTCTATCCTGGGCAGCCACTCACTTGTTCTTCCCTTGCATCACCCACTCCTCTGCGACCTGGCGACGTTCCGAGACACTCAGGGACAGGCCTTCTCCTGTTGTGCCATTCACTGTTCCAAACAAAGAGTCAGTCAGTGGGACCACCAAACACCTTTTGCTCCTCCAACCCCAAGTCTAGATGTGCAGAGTCAGAAATCCCTGCCTAAAAGGAAGGGACCTGGGGAAATACCAGAGGACAGAATCAAGAGGGGAAAACGCCATATTTCCAGTCTCACTTCAGACTTGGTCCTTTTTCCACCTTCACCTTGTCTAAAGCAGTGAGATAGTTAATTATGACTTGTAATTACAAGTCTGTCCATCAGGGACAAATAGCAAATACTTTGCATGGAGACAGAGTATCACTGCCCATATTTTAGGCCAATCTCCAAACACACCACCCAGTTCCATATCTGGGCTCAGATGGCAGGAAAATCAACACCATCTAGTACTGGGGTGTCAAGGAGGTCATAGGGGAGATTCAGATGCGAGTGCTTTTGTGTACTACACATCAAAAACTACCCCCATCTATAGTGACACGGTGGTAGTGCTCTAGACAACTCATATATTTTTTTCCTTCCTTTTTGTCTTTTTTCGTGTCCGGCAACGGATCGCAACCCTCAATGTCGCGCCCGTACCAGACCGGGACTGGCAACGGGAT